TTATTTGTCATTATTTGACGGAGCAGCTGAGTATCGTATTTAGAATTTAAATAGACATTTAAAATTATATTATATTTTTTTTATAAAATATTTTTAAAATATGCGAACATTTAACATAAGCCGAACAGCTTTTAATCTCTTAACAAGCTTCAACGGTTCAAAAGGTTAGTAATGCCAAAGACTAAAGAGAAAAATATTGGTATAATTGCAAACTTAAAAACATATATACATGTGTATATAGTATAATTATATTTGATAAGCATACGGTAAGGTGTGCCAGCATTGTTGTTGCATTTGGTAGTAGCAACGACCGCATGAATGCTTGCAGAAATAATGCTTACATAGAACGTGTTTAGCATATGTAAGCAAATACTGCTATAATATAATATATAATATATGTATGTACACGCATACAAACAATGTTTATATGTTGTGTGTGTATTATGACTTCGCTTGTTAAATATAATATTATCATTTTTGTCGCTGAAAAGTATTGCTTTCAAATATAAATAAGTGTATGAAGATCCACTGAGTTTGAGGAATTTTTAATTTTGGTTAAAAATTGTTTATTGTTGTTTTCGAATTTATTCTTTACACGGCGCAATAACTTTTAAGGCATAATAGGTTTAGTAAAAAGTAATCCATTATACTTGCAATAGCTGCTTTCAGCGTTCTATAGATGGGAGAAGTGTTGATTAACTAGAATTTGAGAAGTTAAGGGGCAGCAAAGAGAAAGTCCAGCAGCTGCTAATGTGAGTAGTGTTTAGGATCATGATGCTGAGACAGTCAAAGCACTTGAAAATGGCAAGCTACACAAAGAAGCTCGATGTATAGGCGTCACAATTCCATTTGCGAATCGCTCAAGTGTTACAAAATCGATCCGAATCTGAGGGGAATGGAGACTGCTGATGAAAAATGGATCACTAACAGCAACGTCAAATGAAAACGGTGCAAAAGGTAGTGTACTGGGATAAACAGTGTCCAAGTCAGGATTGACGGCCAGGAAGGTGTCGTTGTGTGTATTTTGGCAAGGAATCAACCACTATGATCTAGTCCCCTAGGGTGAAACTCTTAATACAGCTCCGCACTGTCAGTAATCTTACCATCTGAAGGAATCAATAGCCTAGGAGCAGCCACACAGAAAAGGAAATGTGTTTCATTAGGATATCGGCAGACCCCAAACATCAACCAGAAGCTCCGAGACCTTGATTGGGACCTCACAGCAATTGATTGTCATCTGTTTCTTTCGACGGCAAATGATTTGAGTGTATTATTCGTAACATCATCAGCCTTCTTGAGACCCAATGTTGTTTATTGAATAATATTCTACCGAATAGGGCACGTCCAGCACGCAGTGAAGAAATTATAGTGGCCGTAGCTGAGAGTGCAGAGTCGATTCGGCGCCGCTCGCAGCAACTCGGACTGACGTATGGAACGACTTGGCGCATTTCACATCGAGATCTTAAATTGAAAACGTACAAAATACAGGTTTTGCAAGAACTGATGCCGCTCGACTTTCTCAAGCGGGGAACCGCGACCGTTATCGCGCTATTATAACCGACTATTTTATGCCTGAAATTGAAGCTCGTAATCTTGGGCGACATTTGGTTTCAACAAGATGACGCCACTTTCCTCACATCGCATCAATCAATGCACTTATTGAGAGAACACTTCGGTGAGCAGATAACATTTCGGCCGTCAATTGGCCATCGAGATCGTGTGATATAATACCGTTAGATATTTTCCACGGGGGTATGTAAAGTTGATTCAGCCCCTGGAACAAAACATCACGCGTGTCATTCGCCGGTTACTAGGCGAAATGTCCGAACGAGTAATCAAAAATTGAACTCAACCGATGGACCATCTAAAACGGAGTCGCGACCAACTTTTGAAAGAGATAATCTTCAAAAAAATAAATGCCAAAGAATGCTCTTTCGAATGATAATAAACATTCTCGAATAAATTTGAATTTTTTGGTATTTTTTTAAGTAGGGAACTTCGAAATGGATCACCCTTTTATATGCTTACTTTGGGAGTACATTTTTATCCACGAGGCAGCATACACACTAATACAGACTAATAAGTACTTTAAAAGAAGCAATAAACAATGTAAAGCGATTATGCACACTGTCGTCTATGTTGCATAATGAAAACATTTTTAAATAAAGTAACAGTTAAGTCAATAGCCAATGTTAAAACAAATGTACAAAACCAATTACCTACAACAACAGAAACCGCAAAAAACTCAACAAATAATATAAAATACATAAGTATATGTATGTGTGTACGAGTATGGAGAATGTTAGCGACAGAAGCGCAAAGAACATTAAAAAGACGAACAAAAATGTAAAAACAAAACAAAGAAAATGCCAGAAACAGCAGACTCACAAAAGCAAGCAATAAAAATTAATGTGTAAATATATGTATGTATGTATTTGCGTATAATACAGCAGTGTTTGAAATGCTAAATTGCCGGCAATAGAAGCACCAGCATTTGGCAAGCAAACAAAACGAGCAAGGAAATAATAAGTAAGTATATAAATAAAATAGCAGACGAAAAATGTAATACTAATCGCTAACAACAGCTGCAAGTAGCACTGTAACAACTACAACGTGGCTAGAAACAGCAGAAATACAATGGGCAATATTTAGCCAAATGCTGCTTGAGTTTTAAAACTTTTGCGAACATACTGCAATTGAAAATACCACCCTACGATATTTTAATTTATTTTATTTATTTGATTTTATTTTATTTTATTTGATTTTATTTTATTTTATTTTAATTTATTTTAATTTATTTGATTTTATTTTATTTTATTTGATTTTATTTGATTTTATTTGATTTTATTTGATTTTATTTGATTTAATTTGATTTTATTTTATTTTATTTTATTTTATTTTATTTTATTTTATTTTATTTTATTTTATTTTATTTTATTTTATTTTATTTTATTTTATTTTATTTTATTTTATTTTAGTTTATTTTATATTATTTTATTTAATTTTTTTATTTTTTTTTATTTTGTTTTTTTATTTTTATTTTTTTATTTTATTTTATTTTATTTTAGTTTATTTTATATTATTTTATTTAATTTTTTTATTTTTTTTTATTTTGTTTTTTTATTTTTATTTTTTTATTTTTATGTTCTAATTATTTGATTTAATTTAATTTAAATAAAAATGACCAAGTCATAAATTAATCAAAAGAGAAAAATATATGATAATCTTAATAGGCGTAATGATAAAATCAAATCTAAAATTTACGTTTTATTAATTTAACCTAAATTCAATTAAATAAAAAGATTAAAAAAGTAAAATGTATAAAATAACTCAAATTACGTATGCTTAGTGTTATTATTTAATTTTAATTTTAATTTTAATTTATTTTCTTTTCAAAATTTTACTTAAATTTAAAATGTGCATAAAAAACTTGATTTTAATTTTCATTCTTTAATTAAATATGTAGTCAAATAGCTTAAAAACATTAATGTTTTACGACTCTTATTCTGCTCTTCCCTCTTTTTCATTTCGCAACATTTTTTTTACGCCGCCTATGACGGTTAATTGAGTAACAAAAATACTGTTTTTGCGATAGTTTATATTTAAAATAAGTTAAGTAGAATAGTGTCATTATGCGAAAGCAATGAAAGCCTGAGCTAAGCTTTACTTTGATGATGGGTCATCATAGATAAGTAATTACGTATTTATAACTCAAATTAGGGTGACCACAAACAAGTTTTGGTGTGGATTAGAAATGCTTGCATCTTAAATATTATAAAGATTAATTGGAAAATGTACCATCTCCAGTTGTTGATTTAAATTAAAAATGTAACTATTTTAAATAAATGAATATGTGTTCTTGAATTTAAAACAAATAATTAAATACTTTAAATCAGTAAGATGTATGTCAAATGCTTAGATGGGTAATACAAAAAGTATCTCGCTATGGTTGGGTAGGGATAAGAAAGGGAAACGGATATTTACTGCTCCCTTGGCTTTGAACGATACATACATATGTAGTTTTAAGGCTTCGTGAGTTGTCCGCTAGATTTTTTCTGGGATATTGGGGAATATGGGTTTTTGTTGTTGCCTGAGTAACCATACAAGGTGCTGGAAGTTAAGTGGTGAGCAAGAAACACCCCAATACGACGTGCTTAGTACCAGGATAACGCTAGCATGCACAGCCACATTAAATTTTTTTCATCCGAAGCCCTCGTCTCTATTGGCCACAAATGGGGACAATCGATTTACACAGGCTTTTCTTGAGGCCAAAACATTAGACACAATAACATATGGTAATCACTTGGTGCGAGGCTCGGCCTATTAATCTGAACTATTAATGGTTGCAAAAGAGCCACCCAACCTAGCTCTCGGCGCTTCTGGCAATTCACTATCGAGGTGTGTAGTCTAACGTTGTTAAGCCCGGCGATTGCTACCTTTAGGCTGTTCAATTTCTGACAGTGCAGATGCGAGTTAAGAGTTTGGCTGCAGGGTAGCACGGTTTCCGGCTTGAGAAAACAGAAGTTGTGTCTATGAAAATTTGTGGCATTCGTCTACTAAATTTTTTTGGGAAAAACTGAGGAAGGTGTGCAGAGAATATATCTTTGGATCCATTCTAGTTTTATTCTTTCGATAACTTTCCCGCAAAATACCTACAAATTTGTTTAAAATGCGGAAATTTAAGGTAATTAAGAAAGTGGTGAATAACGAAACAACAAAACCAAAGAAGAACCGCTGATCCGCATCTTGCATGGCATTTTTCTAATTTTGCCACTTTCAACCACAACCACAAACGGAACAAAAATAACAGCAGGATACTGCCATACCGCGATTATTCGGAAACTAAAACCAATGTTCAAGATCACAATATAATTCGGATTTAGCATATTAAATATTGATATGGATCTTTGTAATCTGTACTGGTCTTAAAGTCGACTTGGATTTATTTGTAAATATGTGTAAACGAAAATATGTGAGCGTCGATGATTAAGGCAACTTACCTGTTTCTCGACCAGTGGACGTGTATAGATGAATTCCTTGCGCGGCGAATACAACTCTGGCGGATAGCCTTTAAACGAATACCGCAATACACTCTCGTCGGTGGACCCTTCCACGGTGAGTGCTTCAATGGCACCGCCATTCGTGGCAGCATAATCATTAAATGCAACGGACTGATACAACGGCTCACCGATGCTGTACGCGGGACAGGTAGAGGTATTCGACGAACAAATTGACGCGTTCGAGGCGCTAAGCTTTAACGAGCTCGCGTTTTGTTGCGTGCTAAAACGACGTAGCAATTGTTGTGATTGCTCATCTTGTTGCTGTCGCAAGCGTTTCAATGTCGCATGCGAATCCCGACGTTTATTGCGAGTCAACTGATGCACATGACTATCGTAGGAGGCAAACGAGGTGGTGTAACCGAGTTGTGCTGGCGAGCGCATTCCGGTGTTACTATACAAGACCTCAACGTCACTGCCACAATCCAAATCGTCGGCAGAATAGTCAGTGTCATGGTTATGATCTCCCCCCTTCGCAGTGTTTTTAGGTAGAAAATATGGCCGCGTTTCATTTGCTGCGTAATTATCACTCACAGCTGTATTGCGGGCAGCGTTGGTGGATTCTACGCCTTCATCAGTACCGATTTCACAGCTTGCACCGCTTTTATTGTTGTCATAGGCAATCTCGTCCTCAGCTGTTGCAGCTGCAAGCAAACGCTCACACTCTGCAGCGACTGCTGCGATAGCAGTGATATCGCCACTGGCATCATGCCAATCATCATTAGCAATTGCTGCCGCTTGCTGGCATGAAACATTCTCAGTCGCCATGCGGGCTGGTAACGCCTCTTTGTTGGCGACACTTTGAACAGTATGGTTGGGGGACGCCGCGTGGGACGCTTCTGCTTGTGAGGTGAGACTCGCAGCAAGCGATGTTGGGGTAATGGACACGCCACTCCCATGGTTGTTGTTAATATTATCGATGTTGTTATTGTTATTTTTATTGTTATTGTTGCTATTGACAGTCATCATGCCCATTTTTGTTAGCGAATGCTCGTTTTACTCTTTCTTTCTAAACTACTACTATAATGGCTTGCAAATTTTCAGCTTTAAAAAAAAAACAAATAAATTTTTAATCAAATTCGTTTTAATTGAATTTAATAAACTTTTTTATATATTTATTTTTATTTATTTATTAATATTTTTTCTTTTTTTTTGCAAACGCTCAAGCCTTTTAGTTAATTGTGAATTTCAACAGAAAAGGCAGCACAGAAAAATAAAATAAAACTTGCGAGAATTTAAAACACAAAATAAATTTAGAAAAAAAACACTCAATTAAACGCGTCGTTTTTTGTTTGAAAGTTCGCCGCGCCGCTGGCCTCACGTTGTCACGTACAAGCGTAATTAAAGCATTTGTTGTTGCTGAAACTTTTATATATATATTTGTTTTTTGCTTTTACATTTTACTCAGTTTTAGATGTGCGCGTGTCGCCCTGACTTTTGGCGAATTTTCGTTTTGTTGCTATTGTTTTTTCGAACTTTATTCTCGTATGAGCCGCACACAGACTCATAGACACACCACACTAACTCACTCACTCTAATCAATTTTTGTGCACCTTTGTCTGCCGCTATGGGTGTAAAAAGCCACCTTGATTCACCTAAGGAATCGGCGATCAACTTATAGCCGCCAGACTTTGCTCAAAATAGTAAATTTCAATCTACACTTATTTCCGGCCCAATCTTCATTCTTTATTTATCTCAACTCTCACAACTCAATGACCATCACAGCATTTAAACAAGATGCGTGGTCCTGCCATGTTTAGTGGGCGTCTGATGTTGGGAACAAATGGAGGGATCTGTCGTTTATTCAAAACCGCCTCCGAACGGCTTTATTTCATGTTAGAAATACATGTAAAAGGCAACCGCAATTGGATGAATTAGTTTTGGTATGTCAGTCGAAAAAGGCCCTCAATAGACCTTCCGAATAGGAGTACGTAATTTTAGGTTTCCTCAACTGTATTCCAAACGTTCGTAGTTGGCCCCTGTCATAGGAACATCCCAGGGAACTACGTGGTCAGGTAGGCAACAGTCATAACCACGTAAACTCTGTTAAAACTAGCCTTCGCCAGAAGGGCCATTGAACGAAGAGATTTACTTCTTTTAAATAGTATCTCCAAAAGCATTATGCGGTCATCGTGTTGTGGGCGATAATGTTAATGTTAAATCGTTAACAGATAATGTTAAGTCGATAACAGATCATGTTGAATCGTAACAGATAATGTTAAATCGCAACAGACAATGTTAAATCGTAAACAGATAATGTTAAATCGTTAACAGATATTGTTAAATCGTTAACAGATAATGTTAAATCGTAAACAGGTCATGTTAAGTCGTTAACAGATAATGTTAAACGTGAAAAATGTAAAAGTGTACTGTTAATACCATAGCAAGCAGGCGTTTCAAAATTACAATCAATGTTGGATTAGTGCGATTTCAACATTAGCATTTTCATTTCGCTTTGAAAACATGGCGCCGAAACGAAACAAAATTATTTCGTTAAGTTTATTTTCCATAATTAGAAAACGAAATGGCATCGCTTCGTTAGTTGAGCATCACCGATTTGGACCCATTTTTAACAGTAATATATGTATGTATGTATGTTTTTTAACATCTTTCTATATGCATGCAGCAGTAGGTACTAAGTCATAATTTAATTTTCTTTTTTCTCTTCGTGCATATACCGCTAACTGTTATCGATTTGATTGCCGTGTGACTGCGACAATAAAATGCAAATATACATATGTAAATATTGCTATATATAATATGTACATATGTATGTACAGATAACTGAAAAAAATATATCTGTGAAGATAAGTAACTCACAGCAGCATTTGCTGTTTGCACACTTTACATAATGTTTGTATGCTCTTTTCGCACAAACACGAACACAGCTAATTATGTTGACTGTTACCGGTTCAACAGCCGTTATTAGGCGGATGGAGATGAGTTTTGGAATAATACTGATTGCAGTTGAATTGCGAAAATACACATATAAGCGTTCAGAAGTTTGCAGATAAATAGTATCTATATGTATGTGTACTGTGTACGTAGAACCTTTGCTCTTTTGTATGCATGTGTATGTAAATTATTTAAAAAAATAAATCAGCTTAGTTAAAATTTGACGCATTTTTAATTTTATTATATATTTTTTTTTTGTGTGGTAGTTTGTTTGTTTTTCATTTTAGTTTGTTTAACTATAATTACTTCTAATTTTTATTTCTTTTCATTTCTTTCTTTCTTTTGTTTGCTCTTTTCGTTTTGCCACATTGACTTTGAATCAACATAATTTGCAATGTTTAATCTACAAATGATGATAATAAAGTTGAACTTGTTACGCACGCACTTGACTTCAGGCAGATAATGTGGATTGTACATAATTGTATAGGTATGTGTATGTGCATATGTATGAACGTTTGTATGTGTGTATGAAATTAGAAAATGTTCTTGTTAGGAGATGAGTCAAAAATCGCCGTAGCATGAAGCTTCAATTTCACATGCGCTAATATACGAGTATAGCGCACCAATGATGCCCAGGGTATACCATATATGTATGTATGGAACGGGTTTTGAACAGCCTGCTATTCCGGTAGATGTCACTTTTGAAGTTGTCATTTTTTGACATTTGACAAGTAAAAACTTCGCCAGTAATTAATTCAGTAATTAATTCATTTGCCAGTAATTTAATCCACTAAAAAAAAAAATTATCGAAAAATCACCTTTATCGATGGGCCCATTTTCACCTTGGTGAGTACGTCAGTAAGCTAAAAGTCGCACGTGGGGCACGGGACACACAAAGATATATTATATATATATATATATATATATATAAAAATATATAAAAAAATCCTCTACATCTTCATCGTGCGACTGTTTAATGTAGTTTATAGTCCGGCGGGGTCATTGCACTTTATTGTTTTGAAAATCAGGCTAACGACAGATGATTAATGTTTTTTTATGTGAAAATAATATCAAGGATTTTATTAGGTTGAAAAAATGAGAACTATTACTTTTTTGTCTATATGAGGCTTGTCTTCTATTAAAAAAGGTAACCTCTTTAGAAGAGAGAAAGAATTTGCTAAATTGGGCATAGTGTACAAACCACGAATTGCTATTTTTATGGGACCTACACCTTAAGATCTGTCAATATAATTTTATTGACAATATTCTGTGCGTTTTTGAAATCTCAAAGACGTGGAAGATTTATAGAAATTTTGTATTCTCGCAAAAATTAAAAAAAAAATTCTGCCAAAAATTCAAATTAAAGAAATTAACTGTTTAAAATCAATTAAAAGGAAAAAAAATTAATTTTAAAACCAAAACGAACCCACAGAAAACCCAACTTGCTGCTGTTTTCGAGTGTAGGGCGCTTGTAAAACTGGCCATCAAAAAAAGCAAACGCGCCACCTCAAGCACATGACCAGACACAACAACTCCCAAACCAACAACATAATTTACTTACAAACTACAAAAGCAAGAGAAACATTTAATGTCAGCAAATTTTTATATATTTTATTTTAGTTGTTCCCTTTGTTAAAAAAATTATTTTGCAGAATTTACAAAACTTTAGAGTAAAATTAATAAAAAAGCTGCATTAAATGAAGTACGTGTAATAAACAAAATCCGACCACATAAAATGGATTACCTTTTTTTTTATTTACTAATTGATGAAAGAAATGAAAATCAAAACTTAATATTTTCTAATAAAATTACACCATTTAGCAACTTGAACACAGATACTAATATTTTGAAAATATATAAGAAAGTTTATTTAAATTTTTTATAATTAAATAAAAAATTCAATACTAAAAAAATTAAAAACCATTAAAACATTGAAATTTGCAAATTTTAAAAATTATTGTTTCAAAAGTTATTTATAAATTATTTAAAAATACAATATATAATTTAAAAAAATTAAAAATCATTAAAACATTGAAATTATCAAAATTTAATATTTAATAAAAAACATTGTACGTAACAGCTTTATATTCAAATTTTTTTGATTAATTATATTTTTTTATTTAAAATTAAATTTCACTATTTGCCAAATTTTTTAATTACACTCAGCTTCAATTTTTTTTTCTTGATCAGCAGCTTTAAGCATCTATTCTAACGAATCATCTGTTCGTATTAATTATTTTTAGTAAATAACCAAATCAAATTTTCACATAACATTCTGAAATTGTTTGAGATTTTTTGTTTTTAAATATATTTTTTTAATAAAATTCCTCCACTATGCACAAATATTAAAAAAAAAAACACGCCACAGCCATAACAAGCAGCAGCGCCCAGCAACAGTATCAGAATAAAGCCGCGGAAAACTGCACGTTCCAAGTATATTTTAAAAAGTAATGTTTATTTATTTATTAAAATAAAATTTATTTATATTGTACAAACATATAATTTTTATAACACTGTTTAATTCCCAAATATAAAAACGATTTGTTCATGCATTGTTTTTATTTATTTTTAATTTTTGTTTTTAATATTTTTTTTTAGTTTTACACACACAGTTTTTAACATTTAATTTCGCGCAACTTAATTTTTTGCACAATAAATTTTATTTCATTATTTCACACACAAACACATTTCATTTGAATGTTTCCCGCTTTTTGTTCCATTATTCGTTATTTTCTTTAGTTATTTTCTGCTGCCAAAAAAAATTCACTTTTAAAAATTTGCAGACACAACAGGAGGCAAGCGAACGTATTACAAATGCATTGAATATATATGCATGTAAGTATATCTTAAGTATTTTATATATTTAGCATTCGTTAACAAAATATTCGCGCCGTAATAATTTGTAAAAAAAATATTCGGATGAAAAATACCTATGCACTTGTATTTACTTTTAATTTGTAAAATACTATTAAAAACTACAATTGAAACAAATATGAATCGGTAAAAGCGTTGAAGACGCGCTCGTTACCGCCACAGCGAACGCTAACCATCTAAAACCAGTACACCGTAGTCTCTGAGGCGCGCCGAGCAAAAAAGTCAATTTTTAAAACTCTCTGGCCGCCTGACACAGCTATAGTAGCAGACGCAATTGTTGGCTACGTCGCCGTCGTCGTCGTCAGCGGCCGCGGCAGCGGCAGCAAAGCTAGGCAAAGCAAGGCGAAGGCGAGACAACCGGCCCGGGCGCTCACTCTCATAATGATTGTCGCCGTATACGCCGCCAACGCAGCAGCCAAGCGGTCAACTTCTATGAATATTTACTATGCTGCTCAGCAACAGCAACATCGACAACATCGACAACAGCAACAACAGCAGTAGCAATGACGACAAGAGCAGCCAACATACATACTCACTCATACATAAAAAGCAATGGTAGGCGTACTATAACAACTCAGCAAAGAGCTTCTAATGTCGAGCGATCTAAACGAGCGTCCAAATTTTTCGACATGCTATTTCTCGCTGCGGTTTGGTTTGTTTAATGGTATATTTTGTTTGGCACGCAAATTCAGTCAAATAGCTGCGGGACGCAAATGCTGTAACCGGCTGGCCGGCTAGCTTACTTGCTGGCTGTTTGGCCGGCTGGCTGTCAGTCTGCCTGCTTTATCCAATTTTGCTGACCATTTAACCATTAGCATGCCTGCCTCAAATGAATGGAAGCGTCATACCGAGCTGAATGCCATTATTTTGGGCAGTCCACACACTTACATTCATATACACTCAAACATACATATGTATTTGCTCGCATCTATATGTAAATATGTATGCATACGTACGTAGAGACAGCCAGCCGTACGCGTTAAGCTGTGTGGGGTATGGCATGAGCATCTAATTTCATTTTCATCTATTTCATTATGCTCCTTCATGTTGTTTTTGTGCATTAGTTTTATTTTCACGATTAGTCAAGATGTTATCTATAATTTTTCCATTGAAAATTAATTCGAGCAATATTCTGCAAATGCATCAATTTATATATTTAGATACTATGCATATGTATGTACATAAAGGGTTTTCCAGTAGGAGGTGTTATTTTAAGTAGTCCCCTACTCCTGTAGATGTCCCATTTGAGCTGTCAATTTTTGACATTTGACAAGTAAAATTAAGCCAGTAATAAAAATGGAACGATACAAGCTTCAACAACGCATTGAAATGATTAAAAATGGCGAAAACCAGGCTTAGCACGTGAAACTACTTGTCGGACCACAATACTGTTGGGGCAATTTTGTGATGTGAAGAATAGAATGCGTGCCCGCCGCTCAAGAACAATTGAGAATATTGCTGCTGCACCCCAAAGTGTTCCAGGAAAAACCCAGTTTTGTCCATTCCTGTTTTGCATAAAGACTTGAGTCTTAAAGCTTAATAAGTTCAGTTAACCTAAGAAATCAACCTGGCCGATCTTAAGCAATGTCGTGTCTTTGTTGATTGGGTCCTTGAGATGCATGAAAATGATTCAGAATTTTATAGGAAAAAAATATTTTTGGCAGTTGAGGGCCATTTCCAACCCGATGGTATAACTGTTTGGTGCGATGTCATTGGATCTCACTTTATCGAAAATGAATGAATTGCGCTATCGAGAGATGATTTATATTTTTTTATGGTTGTGAATTGGACGGTTTACTATCAATAAGATAGCACTACGCCACGCAAGCATCGAGGCCATCGACCTTTTAAAGGAAAGGTTTACGAACCGTGTTATATCTCGAAGTGGTGATCGCAAATGGCAACCGAGATCTTGTGATTTAACACCTTGCGACTACTTCCCTCGGAGCCACGTGAAAACTTAGGTCTATACCATCAGGCCAACGTCGATTCAAGACCTCCAAGATGAAAATCGTAGAGCTATTGAAGACAAACCGCAGCCACTTTGAGATTTGATAATCTAAAACTTCATAGGAACGGCCCTGTTTATTGTTTTCAATTGTTAATGTCATATCTTTCTCTTTACATTGAAATAAACATCGGGTCATTTAACTCGAAAGATGTTATGTTTTCTTTGAATATGAAAATAACACCTCTTTTTGGAAAACCCTTTACTTACTTACGTACAATAAAACTTTTTAGGCCTTCAAGGTTAAGGCACACTGCGAACTCTAAGCGATCGGCGTTTAGCAGAGGCAAGTGGAATCGAATGCAAAATTTAGACACACGTCATAACTCGGGTCTTCACATACAGAAACAATAGTTGAACAATGATTCTAGACGTACGCGTCATAAAATTTAAAATTTAAGGACAACAGTTCTAGGTAATTCAAATTGAGTGAAGCTTTTTTGACAAAAGCTTTTGAGTTGAGCTTTAAACATATTCATCTATTCTAAGCCTATGTTTACATAGCTAATAACATAATCAGTTCCCCCTAAGCTAGCAGAATTGAGCTAACAGAAATATTTGCAAAATTACATTTGTGGGCTTTAACTTATGTACTAGTCTATTAATAATATGGATACAGCCGCCACACATTGAGTATTTTTGGTTGCAGTACCGACCATAGAGAGACATTTTACAAATAAAATGCCGTTTAGTTTATTTTGATAAGTTCATTAGGTTCTAAATAATGTGGTTTCAAGAAAAAGGCAATTAAATCACTCGAGTGGCCGGATTTATCGTTTGGCGCGCTGCGCTCTCCATCTTCTATACTTACTTCTTGGTCTTGCGGACCTTCGAAACTTATTCTATATTATTTCTAAGAGTACTTTCTAGCAATGAACAGGAACAAATTCCAATTTTTTACAAATTTTTTAGAGTGACCTAGCACTAAAGGTCGATATGTGGCCACGTTTGAACCAGGTTATAGGAACTACTAAAATAGGAAGATCATGAAGTCATGAAATAGATGAAAGAAGGGCCTACCCGTAAGTCAACCATACACTTTTTAAGGGTTTCTAACAGCTCAAAAAAAATAGTGCGAATAGTCTTTAAATATACCGTCAAATATGCATAACCTATACTCATTACATTCCACAACAATTGGGTATTAAAAATTCCAAAATTAAATTTTAAGTCAGTCAAGCGTATGAGACAAAAGCGTGCACTGCTAAATTTTTATATGTATGTAGGTATGCACATGGTAATGTCATAAAATCTCTTTATTTTATTAATTTCTCTGAGAATATGCTGAACTACCATACGTCACATATGTACATATGTATATATGTATGCGCCTACATCTATACCAAGACCATACGTTCTTTACAATTTGACAACTCAGCAAATATCAATACTTGCCAGCTTATAAACCGGGCTTCATACAAACAAAATGAAAAAAAAAAACAAACACATAAAACGTTTATATCGTGCTTTTCGGGTCTCCTGATATTTGAGCAGTAACACGTGTGAGAGCGCGAGAGTTGTGAAGCTTCAAATGAGTAAATATGTATGTATCTAGGTACCGAAAAACATGAAGAAATCTCTGCTTCCTATTGTTTGTTTAAAGTTGAAACAATAAAGAAACAAATATTTGCAAGTATTTCTAGTTAAGCGGTTAGGCGGTTAAGCGCTCTTCGCGCAGCAAATCATGCTCAAAATGTGAGTGAGTGTCACAAAACGTCGGCTCTTGCGTGTGTCTCTGCTGCGCTACGCTGAGAGGGCACCTACGGCTTTTTTTCTTTTGTTGGCGGCTTTAAGCCGCTTTTAATCGGCTTGGCTTTCGAACGGTGTACTCTGCATTCCCAAGCGTCGTACATATTTCAGCTTCACATTTTTTGTAAAAATTTTTAATGTACATATGTATGTATGTAGGTATTTTACTTTTTTTCTTGGCAAGCACCTAACAGCGCTCAGCTGCTGCTGCTCAGTCACGCAGTGCCGAGGGCACATTTTGTGCTCACTGTGTGTGTGTGTGTGTGTATTTGTAGTGCTATAGTATTAGCACTTCATTCAAACTTTCAAACTCGTTTTGAACACGATTCATACACATTTTGTACTATAGAATTTAAATTTTCCCACTTTTTTACATTCATTTTTGGTTTTTTTTTTTTCAAGTTTGTGACCCTTTATATTGTTTTTTTTTATTTTTATTTATTTACTTTTTTTACCTTTTTACTATAAAAAAAAAAATCATTCATTAGGCCTTCACATGTTGTTCAGCAGTTTGTAGTAGACTTTTGTTATCTTAATTGTTTTCGAATTCATTGTTCTTATATAGTTTTGTATTCATTGCTGATCATATCACTTGCATTGTTATTGTTTATTATTATTATTATTATTTCTTATATTTTCTTTTTGGTTTGATGACTTTGCTTATTTAAATATTTAAATATGTATGTAGTGAGTGTTGCTCGATATCATCATTTATCATTAAATAAGAATAATAAATATAGTCATTAAAGTAACAACAAAATGTATTTTAGAAAAATCATTTAAATAAATAATAATTATAATCTCTCGCCATTGCACGAATGTACAAGATAAGCCTGTCTTCTTCCGTAAACCCGCTGGCGACGATTTCAATAGTAGAGTGAAGGTGCTGGTTGCCGGACGATTAACTTTTAATCAATTTCATGCTCAATTTTCTTGCATACTATTAATTATGTCAAACCATTGGATGTCAATTTAGGATTTTTAATTAATTCTTCACTAAGAACGGCAATTTTTTATAAATATTATTTAGTTTTTTCTTTTTTTTTTTTTTTTGTAAAATAGCTTCAAGTTATCGCCGCAGATCGGTCGACGATTGCCGAGACCCGTTAGGTTAGGTTGCAGTGGCTGTCGATCTATCAAGTCAGATTCACTTAGGCCCATTGTGATGCCACAAAACCTTGACGATAGAGTTTCATTATCCAGCCATTTTGTTTATCTGATGAACCCCATTAGATCCATGACTTTAACAGAAGTTATCTTCGATATGCTATCCATTAGTAACGTCCCAAAATTAAGAAACCTTGCTCTGTGGGGGATGATGCAAAGATGGGGGATCATCTCCTCCTCTTCATCCTCTCTGCAGCTTCTGCAGCATCTTCTATAGGGAGCCCCTAGTCTTACTGCATGACGTTCCATTAGA